GATGAAAAGGATGTAAGAGGTCACATTAAGAGAGAGGAATTTGAGCAAATTAGTGTTCCAATATTGGAGCGTGTTAAAAAGCCATTGGAGAAGGCTCTCGCAGAAGCTGGACTTACCGTCGAGAATATTCACACAGTAGAGGTCGTTGGTTCAGGCTCTCGAGTTCCTGCTATTATGAAGATATTGACAGAGTTCTTTGGTAAGGAGCCCAGGCGTACAATGAATGCAAGTGAAAGTGTTGCCAAAGGATGTGCTTTACAATGTGCTATTCTTAGTCCCACATTTAAAGTGCGCGAATTCCAGGTAATGATTCTTATAATTGATACCATGACAATCATGTACGGCCCCTAATGCCTTTTAAGTTTTCTCTCTCTCTCGAGCGTTCGCACATACACAAAAACCAAAAATGCACTTAGAAGCTGACTTTTAGTTATGAAAAAAAAAGATTAAACTTCTAAGGGTCATAGGTTCTTTTGTCATGGTTAAAAGTTCTGGGTTGCTATAAATCCATTCAAAATGTGAATCTTTATTAACTGTGCTATTTCATGATAGAGATGGAGATAGTGGTTTGGAGTACAAGTTCTAGGAAGGTGCCTTACAATTGCTTATGTTGCATGTGTTCTTTTTATGACTAATACCTTAGAACGAGCAACCAAAGGGTGTGTGTGGTTTGGAAGAAATCTACAGTGTGCACTAATTAGGGGACTGATGCATATCTATTACAATTTGTTTGTACAAGATACTAGATAAATGTGATTTAGAACTTTCTGTGTCGAACAATCTTGCTGTCTGAATTTAGCGGACATTACTACATGGCATCTGGATTAAGACCTGGTCAACGTTTTTCTGTGCAGGTCAATGAGAGCTTCCCATTTCCCATTGCTTTGTCATGGAAAGGTTCTGCTCCAGACACACAGAACGGAGCCGTGGATAATCAGCAGATCACTGTTGTGTTCCCCAAGGGTAATCCGATACCAAGTATGAAGGCTCTGACATTCTACAGATCTGGTACTTTTACAATCGATGTTCAATATGCTGATGTTAGCGAATTGCAGGCACCGGCTAAGATAAGCACTTACATGGTAATTTATATAATATCCATTCATTCCATTCACAGGGTAGCTTGGACAATTTTGGGTTTTAACACTGCCCTGTTTTTTATTTTTTATTTTTTGGTTCAAGATTGGACCGTTCCAATCCTCAAATGGAGACCGGTTAAAACTGAAGGTCAAAATACGTCTAAGCTTTCATGGTATTGTCTCGGTTGAGTCAGCTACTGTAAGTTCTCTCATGAAAGATCTTTTAACTTTCTATGATAGTGCAAATCTTGATATTTTTGATTGTAGATGATGTTTCTTGGTATTTGAATTAGCTTTTGGAAGAGGAAGAAGTAGAAGTGCCAGTTGTAAAAGAGTTGGTGGAGAAACCGACGAATATGGAAACAAATGAAGCTCCTGGTGATTCTTTGCCGCCAAGTGCTCCTGAAACCGACGTAAATATTCAAGATGCTAAAGCTGATGCCCCTGGAGCTGAAAATGGTGTTCCCGAGTCGGGGGATAAGCCTGTTCAGATGGAAACGGACACTAAAGTGAGTTAACAATGATTATCATAGTATTGTCTGTATTTTGTCCTAACTTTATGATTTCTTGTCCCAATAATTGGTTCTGGTTATTTATTTTTTTGTTTTTTTTTCACATTTTCTGCAATTGCATATTGGCTTTTATGTATTCCTATTTCATGGGCCAAACATTTTTTAAACTCACTCTCTCTCTCTCTGCGTCTTGTCGTGTGTATTTTCTTTCTCTGGAAGAGATGTAGACATGTTGCCTTTCTAGAGTAATTAACTTTAATGCCATGATGCTATAATAGAAAACTGTTTATGATTTATGAATGCTTACAATTTTACCAAATACTGGGCCATAAAAACCTGCAAGAGGAAAGTTATGATGCAAATTTCCCTTTCTCGTGCGTGTATCCATTTTTGTATCTCTTAGAAAGGAACTGGATGTTTGCCTTATTTTTGACAGGAAGAAAGCAGACTGTAGCATTCTAGAATCGAACTCAGTTTATGTTATGTACCTCCGGACTTTATGAACAGTATCATTCTAAAGCTTAAAAATCATCATGGAAATGAGGTTTTGTTGTATGTTAACTACTTTTTTTTGGCCAACTTGACAAGTTCTCTGGTTATTAACTATGTCTTCGAGACCACAGCGGACCAGTTAGTCCAACCGGAAAAACTGGGAACCAGTCTGGTTACCTAAGAAAAACTGTTTTATTAAGAACTGGTACTAAACTCAGATAACTGGCCATCTAACTGGGAACTGGTTGACCCCCGTACACGGTTTTAACGGTAAGGCCAATTTGTTTTGTGGGAAAAAATCGGTTACAAAGCTCTTAGAATCTTCTAAATAACCTCTGAAATCTGGGATGAAAATTTTATTGCTTCTTTGCAATATTCATCTCCCTTCAACTATTTCTTCACTACCTTTGCTTTGCTGTAAGCTTAAAGGTTCTAAATCAAGATTTTCCCTTTGGTTTTCTTCCTTTTCTCCCTGGATTATATTCCCTTTCTCTATCGTATTTCCCCATTCTTTTTCATAAATTTATTTCCATAAAGAATCAAGAGAGCAAGGCTTTTTTATGCCTTGGAACTTTGAACTCCCTTGTTTGGACCTAGAACTCTACTATTCGCGGCCTTCCAAATTCTTTTACTTTATGTTATTCAAATTATTTGTTAATTTTTTTATTTCAGTAGTTTGACTAATTTAAATTGTGAATAAACAACGAATAAATTCAATTACTAACATTAAACTACAAATTAGCATATATGTTAATTAGCCTATTTAATAATATTAAACAGAAATAAGATTAACCATTAGTTGAACTATGGAGTTTGTGTGGTTGATTGAATATTGGATTTTGCTTGTACTTATAAGATTTTTATGATGTAAGAAAGTATATAAAATTTACTTTCGGTTCCACCCTGGTTGAACCTTCGACCCTTGATCCTTTTACTAATGTCGGGTCTGGTTTTGAAAAAGAGGTTACTAAGATAGTCGGAAGTTTGTCAGGAAGTAAAACAGACCCTAGCATCTAGAAGTGAACTCTCTTTGTCATGTACCTTTGGACCTTGTGAAAGTACAATCAGAAGCTTGAAAATCACAGACCTCTCCGAGTCAATTCCAAATGGAACTCAAATCTTTCCCCTTTCGAATGATTCAGTGCTCTCTTCAACCGGCGAGTTAAGCCTTGTCAGTGCTCTCAGAAACCAGATCAATTAGGTCTGGAACGGCTCACTAAAAACATTCCCAATCGAAATGAATTCGACACGAAAGACACGACACTCACAACACGAGACTCGAATCGAGGATCAACCNAATGGAACTCAAATCTTTCCCCTTTCGAATGATGCAGTGCTCTCTTCAACCGGCGAGTTAAGCCGTGTCAGAGCTCTCAGAATCCAGATCATTTAGGTCTGGATCGGCTCACTGAAAACTTTCCCAATCGAAATGAATTCGAAACGCTTAAAAAAATATTGTTGTAGCTAGACACTATTCTCTTGTTATCATGATGTTAACATCCCTGATTTTCATGCTGAGTGTTTTATGTACTTGGGTTTTGTCTTCTCATTTGTCGTGCTCTTTCTGTGAGAGGGTGAGAGGATATGTAGTGGATCGTTCCATAGTTATTAAACCCAGATGGCTGGTTTGACCAGGAAACCAGTGAACCGGATCCTGGTCCTGTCTGCTTGGTAAATATAGACCAATCAGCAATTGAACAGTTATTAAACTCGGTTTTGATATAAAACTGGCAATTTGGTTCATTTTAACCCGGGGTTTTTCTGAACTTTTCCAGAATTTCAGTGGGGATTTATTCCCCAGAACCTCTTGTACATATCAGAAGCTTTGAACCACTAGGCTATGGCTTTATATTGACCAAAAACGAAACTAAACAGGTATAAGCCTTTCAAAATTCCAAATGACAAAATGATTTATTGTACAAAAGTTTAAAAAATATAATTTTCAACTTCTATCCACAAACCTTGGAATTTTTTTTAATATCTATATATCATTTGTGAAAAATCAAAAGAGAAAATTCAATATATTTTAATGGATAGCAGTCCATTTAATCTTATAAAAAACACGCAAATAGATTTTTTAATAATTCAAAGGTATAAACAAGGATTAATAGCAAAAAATCCTCGTAGAAACGTTTCCATTTGCGATATACCCTCTTACTTATTGGAAATCGCAGAAAACCTCTATTTGAAATCTTTTGTTCGAAAAACACCCATACCGTTAAATTTGTCGTTAAAAACAGTAAAAATGCCAAAATTAAAAAGTAATAATTGCCATTTTAGTATCTAAATTTATTCTTTTACAAATTATACCCAAATTTTTTTATGTACTATCCTTAATCCCAACCTTTTAAAACTTCATTTTCACTCCACTCCCGTTCTTCATCTTTCTCAAAACTTTATTATTTTATTTAATCCCTTCCAAAACCTTCCTAAATCACTCACCCCAAATTCCTCATTTCTTCTCATTCCCAAGATTACACTTTAAAACACTCTTTCCAATCCTAAATCCACCGGTTACTGATTGGAATTCTTGAATTGAAATTTTGCAGCTGTAAGGTGCGCAAACGAACTACACAGTCAAATCCTAGCGGGAATGTGAGTACTCCACCTCTTGGTGTCTCTGGTGGACTTGGTTTCCTAGATTTCTCACAATTGCTAGCTTAATGAAACCAACTAATTTTTCTCTGTAAACCTCACCTCCATCGCTCTCGTTTCACCAAGCATTTGGCCTTCATTTTCTTCAACACGCTCCTTGAAAACCATTTTCGGTTCTTCACAAACCTATTTTGGATCAATTGGTTGTATCTCGTTTAAAACTTCACAAAATTGCCTTCTCTGACGGGCTTCCTCTCGACCAAAAAATTGAGCCTCCCTAGAAGCATTTGCAGAACTCTCTGACCGGTCATGTCTAGTAGAAACAATTGGTTTGAGGCAAAACGGCATTCTGGAACAGATCGAGTGTTGGTGTTCTTGAGATTAAATTGAAAGATTTCTATACAAAAGAGAGATCCCACAAAAAAAATTGAGTTAGTTACCTGAAGTTGATGTTAGGTTTAATGAAAATTTGAAGTTCCACAATAGATACATAGGAACTTGCAGTTGCAGAAGTGCCCTGATTATCAAGTTGGTTGGTGATGGTGGTTGGCTTGTGATGGCTGCACGTAGTGGCCACCACTAGAGGGTGGGGATTGGAGTAGGAGGGTTTTAAAGTTGGGAATGGGAAAAAGAAATGAGGGATTTAGGAAGGTTTTGGAAGGTATTAAATAAAATAATAAAGTTTTTGGGAATAAGATGAAGTGGGGTGGGGTGAAAAATAAAGTTTTAAAGGTTTGAGATTGTGGGTGGTACATAAAAAAAATTGGATATAATTTGTAAAAGAATAAAAAGTTTAGATACTAAAATTGCAATTATTACTCTTTAATGTTGGCATTTTTACTGTTTTATCGACAAATTTGACCGTAGGGGGGTTTTTCGCACAAAAGTTTCAAATATGGGGGTTCTTTGCTATTTCCAATAGGTAGGGGGATATATCGCAAATGAAAACCTTTTTAGGGGGTTTTCTGCTATTAATCTGGATAAACAAAGACCCGAATGACCCACTGGTTCGAATGAAGACTCGGTGGCTTAGGTGGGTCAACATTTGGGTCGGTTTCGATAATTTTGTTTCCTTCTTTTTTTTTTTT